GTGCTGTGATTTTCACCACATTTTACACATTTTGGCTCAGCTGTGCACCGGGTTTGGCCGTGGCCGAACCGCTGGCACCGGTGACACTGTTGTGTCAACCCGCTGCTTTCGCTGCAGCTCTACTCGAACCACGAGCGAGCAGCAGCGGGTTACCTTCAGGATGTCCTCCTGGTCCTGTGGGCACGTCAGTCGAAGCGTTAAATACAGCGTACAGTGTTGCCATATTTACTTTCATTGGATCAGATGTTTGTTCAAATTTGCCACAACGGTAAATATTCATTTCATTATCTCAATAATTACATTGTAAGTGCATATTTTTATTGTTTTAAAATGTTTAGTAATATTTAATTCTTTAATTACAATGTTATTTTTCCGATCCTAACCATTTTTAAGAGCAATATTCACGTTTGATTATAGTTTTTTCCCAACTCGCATAAGAGCCTGTGTAAAAGAGCATAATTTTTAATATCATTTTTCAAAAAAAAAATTGCAATCGATCTGATATTTTTACACGAGGCAGTTGGCATATATATTAACAGATTTCAATGATTTTGAAAACTTTCTTACCATTTTCTTTTCGGTATCGAACCTCCTTAAGGTGGGCCTCGCAACGAACGAGGTATGTGATTTGTTTTACGGAGCATTTTCCGTTATTAAATATTAATGTTTTTAGTTATTTTATAATTATTGACTTATATATTTATTGATTTTGGACTGTTTAGTGCTCTAGGGACACGATTTCTAGTGTTGAATTCGAAACATGGACGATTTTAAATGTAGAATCTCACACACGAGTAATGTGTAAATTGTACGTTTATACAGGAAGGCATTCTCGCACCCCTTCGTGCTCAAATTTGTACATAATTTTTAAACGAGACGTTCCGTTAATTGCATCTACATACAGATGGACATTTTGGCCCTCGTTTGCGCTATTGTTACTATACCTTCCACACAGCCAAGCTCGTCTTATACGGGCTTTTCTAGATTATTAATAAAAAAAAATAGTTGGCAAAAGGTCGAGTTAGTTTTGTTTTATATACGTAAAACCTACGAAAAATATATAATTCTTGATGATACCGCTTCTAACTTTCGTCACATAAAAAACGCGCAGACGTGTGCGAAAATTCAAGCTGTCACTTAATATGGCCACACTATATAAGCTAAATTCTTCCGACACTGTATTTCGAAAGTTTTGTGGATCCAACATTTGGAACAAAATTATTAAAAATATTAAAAACATCGCTATTTTGCATGCTAGGTATTTGTATACTTGTTATAAAATAAAAATTATCTGACCAAATGAAGTCAAAGTCTCATTTTCTCGTAGTTCAAAGAGCACCCTGTTTTTCCCTAAAATGTTCCCCCGAGCCTTAAACATATTTCGTTATCAATATTATCACCCGGCCTCTACCCAACGAAAAGTAAATGAATAATAACAACTCTAATCAGAAATCACCAAGACAATGTGATTCCCTTCTCAATACCGTCCAGCCAGCTTGGCGCTTTGTAGGTGGACTTGGTTCAACCTGCGCTTGAACTTGCAGTCGACTGAGAGAAGCCAGTGCTGGTTCGAGAAGGAAATTTAAGAGGAGATAAAATTCTGTAACAGGGATTGTTTTTCAAAAATTCATTGAGATATGGAGAGATTACTTGTTTTTGTATAACTTTTTGAAAAGTTTTAATTATATTATTTACCAGTCGGTGAAAAGCATTACAAAGTTAGAAATTTAAAAAAATTCATAATAGGTCCTTATGTAGGCTTTCCGTAACCTAGTAACCTGACACGGCTTTGTTACAGTTAGTTAAGTTTCATTTCTGTGAGTCGAATTGATTCTAAGTTATATATTAATCATTAAAATGAGTGTTGCTACTGAAAACATTTAAAAAAATTGTTTTGAAGACATTTTAAATGCCACTCGAAAAGCATCTTCAAGCTTACTTCCTTTAAAATCCAAGGAAAAATAGAAGAAGGTAAGTATATGAAATATTTTGTAAGTGGGGAATGAAAAAAAAACGCACTAAGAACTGATGAAAGTGTAATGCCAGCTTATTTTTTTGAGAAGTTAAGCTATTTTTATACATATTTTTAGTGTTTTTCATACAATGTCTCGTTATTTTAGGCAAAATCTCTTAAGGCATCCAGTTTATGGTCTACATAGTCCATGTTCAAAACTACTATACAAATAAACGAAAATATGGATATTATATCACAATATAAAAAGCTACTTGCATTTTTAAAACGTCAAAATGACACATACAAATCAAAGAAATCAAAATTTTTGACTATGGAAAACGTTATTATGTTTTTTAAAAGAATCTCCAAACGATAAGTTCATAATATTTTAATATTTAGTTTAAATGAGACATGTCGCGTACAGAATTGTGCAGTTTAACTTTTAAAGTTATAGAAGACACGGGGGAAATTTTGGTTTTTACTTTACATGATACCAAAACCAAAAAAAAAAACGCGTATTTACCTTAGGATCAGAGTGCAACGGATATGAAATTTATCATAAGAATTTACAATTGAGACCCAAACAAGTAAAACACAATAGATTTTTCATTTACTATAATCACGGTAAGTGGACAATATAACCAGTCAGCATCAACAGTTTTGCAAAAACTTCCCAAAGAGTTGCAGAATACTTAAAACTTCCAGATGTATCAACTAGTGCGACTGAAGGGTATATCGAGGAAAACATCGTTGAACGTTAAGTTGAAAATTTCAAAAAGTATATTTCAAATATTTTCAAATTTGAATAATTATACTTTTAATGTACATAACAATGTTTCCAATATTTAATTAAACAATTTTCTGTTTTTTCAAAATGTTTTTTATTAACAGTGACATTACTATAGAGGGTGTTCTGAAAGACTGTCAGGAAACTCGGGTAGAACCTTGTATAGTCAATGTAGACTAGGCGGTATCTGTTTTGGTTTGGGTGAATCGTATATCCACGGAGATTTTTTTGGCTCTTTGGCTTTCAAATATCACTAGAAATGAAATTTTTTCTATGCGCATAAAGAAAAACGTGGGTTTAACTTTTGGCGGCACGATATGTTAAAAAAATTCGAAAAATGTCATATTTTTGTTTTTATTTAATTATGTATCTTTTCAAGAGTTGATTTTAGGCGAAAATGGAAGAGGAAAAAAATGTTTGTAATTAAATTTTTTACAAAACATGACTAGTTACAAATCGAATGAATCATGATTATTATGGTAAAAATCGAAAAAATCGCAAAAATGGGGTTAAAAAACAATACTTTTTAGGGAATTTTTTTGGGGTATTTAAATTGGGTATAGGACCTTTATACTTGGCTCAAGAAAACTTCATGTTATGTAGAATCATCACACCAAATTTCATCAAAATCGGTTCGATACATTTTGCATAATAATTTTGCAATCCAGATTTTGAAAACAAAATTTGCAAATTTTCAAAATTTTGCATAGCAAAAACCAAGGCCCTTAGATACTTAAAAATTTAATCACATATAGAAGGACTCTGAAGCTTTCAAACTTTTTTTGTAAAATTCGAATCCGTCATTTAGGAGAGCTCTGGCGCTTGTTTAAACATTGGTCGAATTTTTGTACTTATAAACAACTAGAATAACTTTGTGAATATTCATCAAATCAAATTTTTTAAAGCAGGTTTTAAAAGTTCTTAGAAAGACGCTTCTTTAAAAAAAAACAGATCGATTGATCAATTAGTTACGTAGGTAGTTAGTTTATGGTTCACCTAGAAGTAGGGTTTTCCGTAGTCAAAAATTGATTGTTAATGATTTCAGTTTACTTTTTATATTTCTTATTTGTTTTTTTTTGCATTGTTTGTAAAATAAAAATTGTTTCCACTTTATAGCAAAGAGAGTTAATATTTTTGAACGAATGAACTGTAACTATTAATTTAAGAAGTGGTGTGTACGAGGTTTACTATTTTACTTACTTTTTATATTATTCTTGAACATAAAATAAAGTTTGCACCAAATTCATTCTTATTTTCTACACCATTTTTTATAACGGCCTTATTAGTACCTGATTCAGCTTGTTTTCAGGAATTATAATGTTTTTCTTATAGAAGCGCACTAAAAACGTGACTGTAATGGATGTTTTCGCTCGAATTATGGTACGGGGGCAAGTTGCAAAAATGTCAGAAATCGCTTTTTCAACATAATGAACTGGAACTTTATATCTGGGCTAATCTTTTAAAGGGAAATAACTTCCTTTTATAACATTTTTCCCTAGAGTTAAAAATAAAGGTACTTTACTCTTGGGCCGATTTGCAGTTTTCGTCTGCCCCTCGTATATAATGCACGTTTTATGAGGTTTGATGGGCACTATTTTGATTTGACGACATGCAGAGACAACTGACAATGAAAGGAATTTATTAAATAAAAAACTTTTTCCCATATGGTGCAAACTTTTTGGATAGCGCTTTATATGTTTAAATTACTTTGTTAAAGAAATTTCAAAGTAATTCTGGTAGAGTTAAAAGCCAAACTTTTAAAAGACTTGTATATTTTTTATAAGTACAGATCATTGTCTTATTATTAATTGTAAGTCTTGGTTTATGATGGTACATTTTTTTTTACTATATCTTTCCTCCTATTGCTAACGCTCCTTCAAAAGCGTTTAGAGAGAATGCGTAAAAATATACAGGGCGTCCATTAAAAAGAGACGTAAGTCGTATATTTTGACACATGTCCGATGATCATGATTGTGTTTAGTTTAATGTGTTTTTATCTAAATTAAGAATTCCAATGCGTGTATCTTTCAAATCGAGCAATTAAGAACCCCTGCAGGCGCTCACCGCGAAGCCGCCACTGGCAGGCAAGCGGCGATGCGCGTGGCGTGTACCACGGGGGTGAGTATTGATCGCCCGCTCATTCTGGGGGTGAACCGATCCATGCCAAAAACAGTCCTGCTCACGTTGGCGTCGCGGACGCTCCACTCACCTTCGACCGGGATGATTTCGTGACTTCCTGACATCATCGCGACGCTCGGGATGTCGTCCATATCCGCCCAAGGGGTGGTCGAACGCGCCTCGGCGGAGCTCTCGAAACGCATCAACGGCCTGGGCCTCCGCGGCAGCAAACACCACTCGGCCAAGAGCAGCGTGATGGAGAGGGTGACGAACGTCTTCTGCGGCGGCAGCAACGCCGCCGTGGCTGCCCCCGAGAAGCCTTCCAGACTGCTGCCGGCCAGGGCCTCCAAGAGTGCAGGCGCCAACTCGGCCGGGCCGCCCAACCAGAGGAAACAGCGACCGGCCCCAACTTACCTCAACTGGGATCAGCTGATGATGGACGACAAGTTCCTGACCAAGTTTTTCCTCTACTTCAGTGCGTGCGAGAGGTGCGTCTTGGCTCGAGTCTGCACGCGCTGGAGGGACATCCTCTATCGGTCGCCGCGCTACTGGTCGGGCCTGGTGCCAGTGCTGCAATGCCGCGAAATGCGCGGATGTCAGGGTAATGAGAGGGCACGTCTGTACTCCTCCTTGCTGAGGAGAGAGTTCCACAGTCTCTGTCTGATGGGAGCTTCCGACGAAGACGCTTTAGATCTGGTTAACACGTTCCCCCTTGCTTCGAAACACATACACACACTTAGTCTACGATGTTCTAGTATTACGGATAGAGGACTAGAGTCGTTGTTAGACCACCTCCAGGTTAGTCACATGAACCAACACAAAACACCAGTTATTAGAGATCGATTTCCTTTAATTAAGTCCTATACATTTGCGTACTTGATAATTACACTAATTTTTATAAAATTGTAATTTCGCGAAGGATATTTCCAAGGACATTTTCATGAGCTGGTTTCGAGAAGTCTGAAGCAAATCGTGTAGTACTCAAATTGCCTCACATTCATCCCACACTCTTAATTTTTTGAGCGATTTAAATGACTTGGCAACGACTTAAGAGAGTCTCTAATACAAATTTACAATTTATTCAGTGCAGTTTAGGATAGATCTCGGATTATTAAAATGAATTATAAACCTGGACAGATATCTGCAGCTCGTGATACTGATCCCATTAACTTAAAGAATATGAGCGTGGTCAGGGCTGTTTTTATAAAACAAAACAACAGAATCAATAACTATTCCTACAACGCCAAGTTCTTGTCATAAAATATGTATATATAGCTAGGTGCAGTATCGCATTGCGACATGTTAGGTTTACTTGATTATTAAAAATGTTGAATTTTAATTAAAAATGAATTACTTGCATTAGTTTTGTAGTTCCAAAATAGTCTTTCATTGAAGAAAGTGCCTAACTAAGTGCCTGATCTATGATGAATTAAATAAATTAAACCATTAAAGCAGGTAGATTATTGACTTACATGATTATTTCGATTTTGGAGACGAAGTCTAAAATAACTTATTTTTCATTTGAACTGACGTTGCATAAAAGTGTGATCGTGATTCAGACAATATAGGTATTCCAAAACCCTTCACCTACTAAATAACAGCCTTCGAATATAGCTGAGGTTGGCTTTTTTGTCGTTGGAATACAGCCAAAATATTAACTACATATATTGCATGCAAATGATCAATTTCGAGAAAAATAAAACGTCTCAATGATGCATTGGTGTCAGATGTACAACATATCAGTCACTATTTTCGGAAAAATATTATTTGATTTATCTATAAATTAAAAACCTTTACCTCAATGCCACGTAATGTAAGCAAATATGTTCTACAAATATTGATGAGGGTCTTTGCTTTTGTAGAAATAACTTTTATTTTCTCTTAAATATAAGCTGGGCATGGCAACATATTATGTTGCTAATAGACTTGTAAAGAGAGCATCCCATTTGTATGATGCAAAAATCAATAATAATTGTATCTTTTTATATTCCAATACTCCATCTGAAAACGTTGGTTTAGTTTTATGATTAGAACAGCTTTATGAAATTTTGTAGTACGCAAAAAATAACGATCCTCAATTGTTTTAATAGAGCAACAAATTTAATAATCTGACTCAACATTAAAAACAACATCAAGAACATCAGCAACAACATCAACAATATCAACAACTACATCAACAACGACATCCACATCAACAATAACAATACAAAGAAATACAAAGTTGTCGAAAATTATAACAGAAATTACTGTCTGATGTCCTGTAACTCTAAAACAAATGAAGGTATTAATTTTCTGTTTGAAAATTGGGTCGCGAGTGTGTCATCGTTTTTCCCTATTTCTGATAATGTTTTAGATAACCGGAATTCCAGTGAAAAGGAGACAGCTTCTTAAATTAATGACGTTATACTTACTTTTCAAAAATTATGAATCGCAACGTAAACAAAATATTTTTTATTTCATACTGTACTGTAATGAGTTATTTCCCGGACTCATTTAAGTCCGGGAAATAACTCATTACAGTACTGAGTCCGGAAAATTTTTACTTCCCGGACTGCTTTAAAAAAACACAATATTCACATTTTTAAAAGATTTTATCTTTAAAACTACAAAATCAAGCCTATAAAAACTAATTATAATTATAATTAACAGTAACTGTGCAATGTGAATTTCCTTGCAGGCTGAATGCAGGAATACCTTTAGGGACAGAATCTTCACTAGACACGGTAGTGGTGGTGGATATAGTTTGTTGCTTGGTCTGAAGAACCTGTATAAAGTTTTCTCCATTTTGAATCATCCTTGCTGCTTTTGTTTTGTTTTCTAAGGAATCTTCAATGTATTGTTCCGCAACAGATGAGCTTCTCCATGCACCATGACGCTTCAGTGTTGATAAATCAGCTCCCGCATTCGCCAAAAAAGTGGCAGATGTTCTGCGGAAACAATGCCCCGTATATTTTTTTGGGTGTTCCAACTTCAAATATCCCGCAATTTTTTTTGGTGCCCCCCCAATGGTATGTATGCCCGCTCTTTGGGAAACACATGTTCCTCTTCTATAACCCAAAAAAAGAAAATCTTCCTTCATATTTTTAGGTCGGAGCTTAACGTATTCTCTGAATATTTCCAGAAAGTTTATTCCTTCATTGTCGTCACTCAATACAGTGAATACCCGTTTTGTATTCGTCTTAGAAATGGGAATGGTTATAATTAGTTTGGTGCCACAATCTTCAATGTCTTTTAGGGTCATATGGTATAACTCTTCTCGCCGACAACCACCAGCAATGCCTATCATTGCGATTACCTGTAACAATAGAGAAAATGGTTTAAAACTGATTGTCAAATTGATGAAATTTCGACTAACGAAACCAAGAAATGTATTTTTTGTAATTAATTGACATTGAGTACCTATATCATTCAAGATGCACATTGTTTAATTCAAAACTAATGAAAAGGTTAAACTTGTTTACCTTCATCAAAAGATACTCTTCTGATGGGGCTTCCTTCATGAATCTATTAACTTCTTCTCTTGTTAGAACTTTTGATTTGTTTGCCTGATGACCAACTGCTTGCCTTTTTAAGAAAGCCACCAGTTTTGGATATTTTGAAATATCACCTCCTTCTTTTACCATCAGCATAGACTTGAGCATCGAATATTTTGCCCACATTGTCGCAGGATTCATCTTTTTGGAGATATCCAAGAAGTACGCCAAAAGGATATTCTCATTCAGGCCGTTTTCCACCTTATAGGTTTTTCTCCACACGTTGAAGAGCTGGTATTCCTTCTCATAACGAGCAGAAGACTTCGTAGGCACCAATTTACTGGTTGCTTCAGCACATTTTAGCTCGATTTCTTCCATTTTTTACGAAAATTATCACAAAATACGCACGGGATGACAAACTGTCAAATTTGTTATTTTTGTTTTTACATCACTAAGCTAAATCAAAAGCTATGCGATAAAACAAGAATCGAAACCACGCTAACACCTACATACAGGCAGGTTATGTAAAATAAAACATTAAAATTTCATTTTTAATACAACACAGTATGAAATAAAACGTTGTACGATACACGGCCGTGAAATGTCATTAAAGTACTCGTCTAGAAATTCCTGACTCGGCTCCTTCGTCGCCTCGTCCGTAAACATCTAGACTTGTACTTTAATATACCATTTCCCGGCCTTGTAACGTAAATAACTATTTTATACTTCAGTTAGAATTACTTTTTGATCTTTCGTAACATAATTCAAATTTTAAAATAATACAACAAACAAAAAAATGAATCATCGTATATGGCTTTATTGCGTTTTTCAAATATTCTCCATGATCGATACACTTTTGCATGCGCTTGAACCAATTTACGAAGAACTTTTTCCGATTGAGGTACCTCCAAAACATTCATTTTAAACGGATCAACCACTTCTTCAAGTGTCGAAAAACGATGGGTGCCAAATCAGAACTGTACGGCGGCTGACTCATCAATTCGACTTTTTCAGTTCTCAAAAAGTCTCTTGTTTGGGCCGATGTGTGAGAGCTCGTATTGCCCAAAGACAATATGACTCTGAAATTTTGTTTATGAGGGTATTATACCGGAAGTAGCTGTCAACTTCGTCATTTTAAATGGAACACCCTATATATTATTGCATTATCGACAAAATTAAAGATAAGTCAAAATTGTTAAAGCTTCCCTGTACCTAAATCTAACCATTTTCGAGATAATCGACATTTTATAAAACTTTTGACAGATGCAAGCGTTTCGAAAATTCCTCATATCTTTCTTCGTTCTGGGAGTTTTCACTTGCTTTTCGGAATACACAAAGAACATAAGATGCATTACCTTCCCCTATCAAAATTACCTGAAGAAAATTATACTAAGTGTCCCATTCGTTACATTCACCGTGAACCAAAATTATTAGCTGTATTTCTATGATTCGGTTGGTTTTCTTAGAATTTTTCTCTAATTTTTAAATAATATCAAAGACAATAAATGAGATAATTTCAAATAACTAATAAATGCATTATTATAATTTTATGATCTTTGGAATGAAGTTGAGAGAATAATATAATTTAAAATTTTGTTTTTCTTTACATTTCATTGTTTTCTTAATGAAAGGATGCTTATTTGCTCTTTAATGTACTTGCAGTTGCCAATAAGTTGACCGGAAATACTACGTTGATAGCATTATTTTCATTGAAGAGGACATATCTGCTAACCCCCGTAAACAAAATTTCAGTCATATTGTCTTTGGTTCCTCTGACACGTCCAATAGGCCACTTACCGTGAAGAACCCTGAATATAGTGGTTTTTGATGGTGCTTCGCCACTAAAAGTCGAATTACATAAGTTCTTCAATGCACTGTTGTTAAGATGATCTACGTCCAAAATTGCAAAAAATTATCGTACGGAAATGTTCACGACATAATTCTATTTTTTTGGCTGAGATGCATTATTCGTCGCTGTAAACAATACAAATAGCGCCGGTATGTTAAAACGTTCTGAGTTTTGAGTAAATATAACGATAAAAAGTCGAACTTTAGTATAGGGACGTCGATTTTCAGATGGCAGCACCAAGATCGTCCATTCCCGAAATACAACAGGCAACTTTCGTATTAACATTAAGTAAATCAGGTTCAATAAAAGAAAGTAGGTATCTAATATGAACTCATTTTTATATAATTTAAAATCTATGAAATATTTATACTTATGATGCTTGCAAAAATACTTAGACATAAGTACCCGGGAATATAAAAATCAGAGAAATCGCGAATCAGCGGAAAAATGTACTATTAATATAAATCAATTCTAAT